TTCAGGCCGGGATTGGGTGTGGCGGCGGCAGTGGTCGCTTCAAGCATCTGTTTGAGTAGTAAACTCTGCAACGCCAAGGACAGACTATCGTCCGGACCGGATAACGATATTCCGTCGCTCAGATTTTGCAATGCAGGCTGAATAGGAAATGCATTTAAGGTATGTGGGAAAGCAATTAGGAGTGGCTCACACTAGCAAACGAATTTCAGATACCTACAATGAAAAACATGTGATACTCGGTGTTTAATCGAGGGCTATCGATAATGTGCAAGGATACAGGTACATACTGGTCGATCAGTCAGAGGATGAGAGTATAATCATTGATGAGTAAACCAGAAAATGAAGTATTCGCTTGCACCAAAAAAATCAGTACACGAACCTCGTGTAAGTGTATCCTCCTAACCTGTCAGATGCTTAGAACGCACACAGACCTGTACATACTTTCATTACGCGCGCGCGCGCGCTTCACGCGTGAGTGTAAAGCCAAACGATGACCAAGTTAGGCCACGTGACTACATAGTACACAAGGTGGCTAACTAATCAATGACGAAAAATGGAGATAGAAAGACGAACAATTCTGCAAACAGATCATCATCATCTTTATCATATGCTTCACGTGACGCGCGTTTATCAGAAGCAAATGAAGAGAGATTCAGAGAGGTTTGTGGAGAGAAAGAGAGCAATATAAATTTTATTTGATATTCGAAATAATGCGTTAGAACTGGAATTGTGTTATCATTGGAGTGATGAAACCAAACATACTTGACTGAAATCACAAAAGAAAAAATGTGATGACAGGAGGACCGACAAACAACATGCAAATGCACGTACCTGTTGACCCAGCAATTGTTGAATAAGTTCGGTCGGTAAACCGTTGGACAGTTGCGCGATCGTCTCCAACGACAGGGACGGAGTCGGAGTGGACTCTGTTAGGGGTAGCAGACCCGCATTTGTAGGAATCGATGGTTGAGAAGGATGTGACGATGGTTGAAGCTGTTGTTGTTGTTGCTGCTGCTGCAGTGGTTGTTGCTGTTGCTGCTGTTGATGTGGCGGCAGTGGTTGTTGTTGTTGCGTCAATGTGGGCGTTTTCCTTGCAGCAAGACGTGCCAACTGTTGATAGGTATTGGCCATGGTCAACTGGTCGATTACATTCGTGGTGGTCCGTGGTAAAGTCGGATCCAGATTTGGGTTAAGTGGTGCAGACGGGACCAAGGTTTCCAGAGCCTGATTCAAATAGACTGTTGGAATTGAGAGTCCCGAGTGATCCAGATTGGATGTGACCGAGAGCGAATCCAGACCCGGTAGAGTTCCGTTCGCCATGGAACCGGCTAGTGACATGTTCACACCGCCCGGCGTACCAATACCAGCTAAACCACCACCACCACCACTACGCGCCTGTGAGCCCGTCGGAGTGGACAACAGGGACAATAGGGTGTTCGAATCTAACGTCGGTGGTTCTTTTTTCACTTCAGGACGATTGCCGGTCTGAGAGAGTGTGCGTGTGAGGAGACATGGGAAACATATCAATGAAATGCGATGCACAACATGTATTCAAACTACTGTATATGGTGGACAATCCATCTATTAAAAGCCAAATAATTCAGAGGCGCTAATTAGTTCTTGTTTGAATTACAGCCACGTGGTGAAACCTTGCAGGAAGGATTATTCTGTCGAAAATCAGACTGATGAAAGTGAACGCTGCTCAAGTGGATAGGAGCAAACTGGGTCACGTGATCGTGGCGAGGACAAAGTGTGCGAAGAACACACAAGTGGTTCATTATGATTGATGGATCAAAGTGAACCCAAACAGTGGTGAAACACAATGACACACAGGAAAAGTACTCGAAACACGACCAATATGGATAATGCGCATTCACCAATTATATCCGTCGCACCACGCCAATCTAGGATTGCTGAAAGCGCTTATCCGGGGCACTTGACGACAATTAAGTCTAACACAGAGGAGTGGTGCAAATCAACTGCTACATCTGTTTTTAGCGCTGCACCAAGCGTTCACGGAATAGGCTGGGGAATGTGATATTCAGGTGGAAGAAAACTCGCACGTTCTCTGATTGCTCGATAAGTGTTCGGATGTAATAAGACCTACTTCATGAATCCCGGATACCACATAGCACGGAACCATGGGAATAAAGTGAACAATATCAGATACACTCGCATGCCGAGCTAGAGAGAGAGGCGAACGGGTGCTCAGACGAACAAAGCTCGGTTACTAGACCATCTGTCGACTATGCCGAAGACTGTCCTACCACCTCATCTACTCCGGCTTCAGAATCGCTACTCGCATCATTCCAAACCCCCACACACACTGGGGTTAAAGGTCACAACTCATTCAGTGCGGGTGTGTAACCGTACACAAAGCCCGACAGTGAAAAGTCCATCACAAGCAAGGCACCCAGCTAGCTTTGTCTGCTGCGGTCGAGGTCAACCGTGATGTAACAAACTTAAACATGCGCGTGCGCACAACCGCGCGGACCACCGGTATGTCAATGCATGCTTCCCGTATTGAAGCGATCAATGAGGACAGAACAAACAGGAAGATACTTCTCGTAATGCAATGATGAAAAGCCTCAGTGGAATTCCAACTCACGCATGAACGGGGGAGACTAACCGCGAGAGAGAGAGTCAGACCCGTAAGCCTGACCTCAAAAAGTAGACAGTAAGCATACTGAATACATGCAGAAGTTCGAATCCTATCGAGTAGTAAAATTACAACGGAATTGAACAGTCTAAAAAAAGTCGCCAAGGTAGCATTAATGGATGCGCATGCAGTTGTGCCTTAGCAACGGTGGGGGTGGTTCAGTTGGCGCGACTAAACTCAAAGACGTGCACAACAATTAGGGTTCAAACCCCAAACACTATCGGCGATTTCTGCTAGCACAACAATGTCAATCACCACTACAAACCTAGAGATGGGTGAAAGTGTTTTACGGACTATTCAGTTACACAATAAAACTGCAAACGGAGGATAGCAATCAAAGAGTTGCGATGGCATCAAAAAAAGGGAAATTTAAAAAAATATCGAACGCCAACTGATTAAATGGAAACAGGCATGTCAAATGCGACAGTGTCCGGTATCGGATCCAGTAACTGAGCAACAGTGCAGGTCATTGAGGAGTTCATTCGCCTCCCAAAATAGTCACTGAATTAGGAGAGGTACCCAAACACTGATTGGATCGATTTCATCTCTCGAACCTTATCACTGAATTTTGTGCAGGCACAACAAATCCTGACATCAAACGTGTTCGTTGTGCGTAATTATCTGATTGGTGGATTGGTCGTTTAATTTTCTTTTCTTTCAAAATGATAACAACTCAATGGATGACCATGGCAAGCGATGCAATGTGATCTTTATTTTCAAAACAGTCATTGCTTTTGTATGAAAAAACTAGGTTATGCATCTTATTTGAACAAGGAACTCATGACCTGAGGACTGATAATGTTATGGCAATTCGATTAATCGTTAGAAATTAGTAAATTCCCCACATATTCTAGTTTTGATGAAACTGTGTACGGTATTGTTAACAAACAATATCAGGACGCAATTTCCTGGGGAGAGGACACATCTGCTGTAATTTGTGTTTTATTGTATTGTATTGAAGCCTTAGCAAGTTATATACAAGCTTTCGGCCAAAAATTGGAGTAGACATTATTACGCCAGATATATAGGGCAAACCTGTGTGGAGTATACGCATATGAATTAATTAAACATGTTTATGAATAAATTCACGTACATTGTAAAACACGATAAGTCTAAAATTTTCCATCTTTTTCTTTTTCTCACGGATACCGCAACAGACCTGAAACACAATCCGTTCTGAATGGTATTTTTAGTGTCAGACTTAATAATACTTTATTTCAGACAGGTACAATGCGAAGCGAAGGCACAGGTCGGTCATTCATCACCAAAATACCACATATGAACCGGGATAGGTCAACTAAGCTGACATCTTGGAGGTATAGGAATACATACAGGGCGAAAAATTGAACTGCATTGAAAGTTTTAAAAAAATTCACAGGAAACCAAGACGAAGTGTGGTAAAGCAGAACAAGTTGGTTTGCACGCAACACATGTCAACTGAATAACTGCATCATCCTCATCATCACCATCATCATCACCAGCTCTCGAACGTGATTTCAGAACCAAATTCACAAAAACCCTTCAAAGTGGTAGTCCCCACATCACTTCGAACACATCTCACATGCGGGAAAATACTTACCACGAACAAAAGAGAGACTATGAAAGTAAAAACAAACTGTTCTTTAAATAGTCCGAGTAAGAGATCTCTTGGAAATGCGAGTGGTGGTAGTAGTCCATCGATGATTCACACAAGCAACTAACATGCCAAATGAACTATCCTTTGCACGGTCTGCCCAAAGCAGTCCGAATTGAATTGACCAATAAGAGAATGGTTGCTCCGGTAGAATCGGAAAAGTGCAACCCGCTCAACAGAAGTTCATAAGGTCAACTGAGAGCAGTAGCCCCAATCCTATCCTATCCTTGTCCCGAAGCGACATCGTGGCCACCGTCACGATGCATCAACCTCACACTGTAGGCCACACCCTCCTCTTCTCCCTCCCCCCAAACGGCATCGTGTCCTCTCAAACTATGCACTCAACCACTCGTCCAGTCGAACCTAAAACAGAACACGAAAACGAACCTCAACCTCCCTGTCCCATTTGCTCGACGCACATCCCCGCATCCCACCTAGCATACACAGGGGTGAGGCCATCACACGGGGCGCGTGCGCATCACCACACGACCTGGTTCTTGGCCTTGAACCAATCAACAAACATGCGTGAACAAACCTGGGTGACCTCGTTGGGTTTTAACGAACTATTTTTCTGTCCGCATTCTATCATGGGTCACTGACGCACACATACACACACACACATACACACACATAGCCCGCATAGCCGGGCCGACAACCGTCTGCCAGTTGTTCCATTGAATCAAGGACATAAGGTCGAAAGGCCACCTGCGGTCACATAGCCCAAACGACCGAAAGAATCACCACAATACAGGTGAAGCTTGTCGAAGGAGAGCAATTGGGAATATGGAACAAAAACCGGGACAACCAGGACAAAACCGAGAATAACAACAACAACAACATCCGTTAATCAAAAAGGCGATAGATGAGGCACGCGTACAGGAATGGGTCGATATGAGGGCAGAGACAAACATAGGACGGTGTGTCACACACCGTACGCGACACATTGGTGGTTAAAACAAAAGCCAAGTTAGAGAAAATAAAGCGGTCGACATCGATTACCGGTATGTACTAATCGGAAAATGACGAAACAAGATTCACTTGAGTCCCAAGCACACAAGTCACAAGCAAAACGATTCGAATTTCCTGCTACGCGATGAAACGACTCCACGGTACGGAAGGAATGCAGTATGGTATCACGGTCGTGATGAATCGTTGACATAAGCAGAAATAACATGCGTTAATGCGGTTCTCCTGGCCACAAAGACAGTCTAGGAAACAAAAGATTTCCCCTGGTTTGTATTCTTTCATCCCACAGATCATTTCGGCATTCTCGAAACTAAACTAATCATTGACAAACGCAAACTACCGACTAGCAAGACTACAGCGATTTCTACGTCGCATGTGCCGGCCGAAGAAGCTATCCCTGGGCGAATTATCCACGCGCGTATGGGCGCGTCTGTTTCCTCTCCTCTCAACTGTGAACTGCAGACAAGTGGTTTCGAATTCTCGAGAGAAAGAGAGAGCAAAGGAAGCCAAATGCCCACAGTAGGAACATATCAAATTATCACGTTGAGAAATTTGGGAAAAAAATCTATCAGCTGGTAACCTTGGGTCTGCAGAATAGCAACAGTTATCCGACGGGAGAATAGATAGATAAACATGTTCGTCCCTTCTTGTGGTTCCAGGCATCAATTTGTTTAAAATACATTAGGACAAGCTTTATTTTGGTAATGCCCATTTATTAAACTGGAAGCAATGTTTTCCCGTCACAAATTTGAATAGAGAAGTCAGAAACATGGGTTTGCACAATGTATCCATGGTCATTTCGCTGCATCTGTACACGTGCATACTGCAGTCAAAGTCATTTTATATAGTCAGT